TGCCTCTGTGCTGTCTTTCAGTCCAGCTTTGTCCAGCCACTGGTAGGATTTTTCAATATCAGCCACTTCTACTATTTGACGGTGGTACATACCGTGCAGAGGTTTGTCCTTCCATGAGGGTTCCTGCTCTTCCTTCCCTTGTTCCTCTGGTTTCTGCTGCCTGAGGTATTCACTATGGACATCATCACTCGGGGCCATCTTCCTGATGTATTCATGGATCTTTGTTGTTTCATCCTGGATAGTGGCTCTGACGCTCACTAATCGTCAGCCTCCTTCCTTCCCCTTACTGTACAGTCTCAGGATGCTGGATTTGGGGTGAAACCCACCGTGCATTGTAAGGAGCTTCCTTGTCTTGATGTCAGTGGCCTCTATCTCCTCCTTTAGCCAGGTTATTATGCCAGCAGGGTACCTGATGACTGGCAGGGCATAGGTGTTAATTGCCTGGACTTTGTTCTTTACATTCAGCTGACTTCTCAGGACTTGCCTTACTCTCTGCAGGTACTTGGTGGTTGCTGCTTTCCTTGCAGCCTCTTCATGGTTCCCATTTGCCTGGTCTCTCAGATTTGAAGGTTCCTTCTCCCAGCTGCTGTTCTGAGATCTCTCCACAGTTGCTCTATGTGATTTAGATCTGGACTCATTGCTGGCCACTTCAGAACTCTCCAGCACATTGTCTGAAACCATTTCTGGGTGCTTTTTGAAATCTGCTTTGGGTCATTGTCAAATCAAATCAAATTAAATCTAATTTATTTATATAGCACTTTAAAAACAACATTCAGTTGACCATAATACTTTACATGGGCAGAATAAAATCACAATAAATAACTAAAATAAAATAAATAGGATCAGTGCAAAAATAAAACAGCACAATAACACAGACACACAGATGCCATACATTCAATAAATTAAAAGAAAAGGTCCTACTAGGTAAGCCAAGGAAAATAAATATGTTTTAAGCAATGATTTAAAAGTAGTCAGGTCAGCAGCTGATCTAACATTAAGAGGTAGAGTATTCCACAATTTAGGGGCTGCTTTTACTGTTGCAAATACAGTATCTGTGCAAGCTGACATCATTGCATCCTGGTCCTGCAGGTCAGCTTGTCCTGCTATAAGACTCCTGGACTCTGACGAAGACCCAACTATCTGACACTGGGCCTACATTGCACCCCAAAATTTGTTGGTAGTCTTCAGATTTCATAATGCTATACACACAGTTGAGACATCCACTGTCTGAAGCAGTAAAGCAACCCCAAAACATCAGTGAACTTCCACTGTGACCACATTCTTTTCTTTGAAGGCCTCATTTCATTTGCTGAAAAAATTAGAATGATGTACTCAATCAAAAGGCTCTATTTTAGTCTCATCTGTCCACAGGACATTCTCCTAGAAGGACTGTGACTTCCTCAGGTAAGTTTTGGCATCTCCAGTCTGTCTTTTTTATGTCTATTTCAGCAGTGGAGTCCCCTTGGGTCTCCTACCATAGCGTCCCTTGTCATTCAGATGGCAACAGATAGTGCAAGCTGACATTGCTGCACCCTGGTCCTGCAGGTCATCTTGGATCTATATGGAAGTTGATCAAGGTTCTTTATCAACCATTTGAACAGTCCTTCCTTGCAATCAGTCATCTATTTTTCTTTTTTGTCCACATCCAGATAGATAGATAGATAGATAGATAGAAATACTTTATTAATCCCAATCTGGGAAACTGCATTGTTTCAGCAGCGGTTCAAAATCAATATCAAACACACATTCCAATAAATAGAATAGATAACTCACTAAAAATATAAAACAAAATATAAAATACGTTAAAAAGTTAAAAACAAACCCAACACAATCAATCAAGTACATATACATAATCACATGATGAATAAAACATATGCAAATATATACAAAGCTGATTCAGTAAACAATTACTCTCAA